GGGGTTAGGTTTAGGGTTAGGATTAGGTTTAGGGGGTTAGGTTTAGGGGTTAATTTTAGGTTTAGGGTTTACAGCGTGTTTCTGTCTCCGTGCTGTTGTCGCCCTGTTGATGACGTCAGCGACGCAGTTTAGTCGGACGCGGTTTAGTCGAGCGTGGTTTTGTGGTGGAACCTCAGATTTAGCCTTTATGAAACCAGGTTAACTTACTGGAAGCCAGTGCTTCTGTCTCTGTTGATGGCACTTTGTAAATCTTTCCTGCCTTGTAGACAAAGCTGCCTTCCACCACTTTGAAATCTAGGTAGCGTGTCACCTCTGTATACAGGAGCATCTTCACAAGCTGGCCTATATGGAAAATGATAAGAAAGATTCCTGAAACTCTTACACCGGCCTCCATTAGAGCTCCCACACTGCCCGCAGGAGATTGTAGAAGTAGGCAGGACTCAAATAATTTATAATAAATACAATAAGTACCACTCAGTGAATGCAAAGAAATTGCAAACAAGAAATAAAAAACTTTAGTGCACATGGAAAATATGAGTTGAGCTATGAGTATAAGAGACAAAGCTTCAAGGGCTGCTAAGCTGAGTGTGCACATTTACTCATTAGTGTAAATCAACAAAATGCCAAAAGTCCTGGCATTCTTCAGCAGCATACTTGTCCCAGTGCTTCAGCAGCATATATTCCCAGTGACTTAATATAGTGTGGGTTCTCTTGTGCAGTGATGTCCTTTGTTCCTTCATTACTATTCATATACAAGGAAAATATACCATATCTCTGGCTAGGTGACCAAAACATCTAAACAGAATGAGACTTACCATTGGCCATGAGAAATTTGGGGATGAGGTCAACATTCCAGTCCCGGCCACGCCCCATGCATTCAGAGGGCCCCTCTGTAATTTCGAAGCGTTTGTAAAGCTGGCAATTGGGGAAAGGACAAAATAAGCTTCGAAATATTGTACTTACAAGAGACATTTCCATTAGAACTTGCTCTACGAGCATAAGAGAGCCAGCTTTTACAGTGGTTAAGGCATCAAAGCTAAAACTTGGGGAGACCAAATTTTAGTCTTGCCTTAGGCATAAAGCCAGCTAGGTATCCTTGGTCAGTCGCCCTCTTAGCCCTGGTAGGGAAGCATTGGCAAACCACTTCTGAATAACCTTGGCATGAAAACTTCAGGAATATGTCCAAGCGGACCCTGAGTATCAGACACAATTGAATGGAAGAAATACTAGCATAAAACAATACAGTCGTACCTCGGTACTCTTTAATTGGTTCTGGGAGGTGCGATGAGTACCATACAATTTTTTCCCATAAGAAATAATGTAGCAAGTCACAAGACAGTTGACATCAGTAGGTCCTAGTTGGTGCCTGACTATCAAACAAAGGAGGAGTACTGGGACAAAGTTTTCTGAGTCAAAATGCATTAAGTACCAAATTCAATGAATTTCAAACCATTGAGTACCAAGGTACGACTGTATTATCAATGCCATCAAAATAAAGGAAGGAGCTGTAGCTCAGTTTTATTCACCGCACAGACTGCTTGTTACTTCTTTTGGAGCAGAACAGCAAAAAGGTTTGTCAATTCTCTTAACAGGAGATCACATGATAGGTATTAGAGCCTCATCACCCCAAACTTATGACTTTCCAAGTTTCTTAGTGCAAATTATATATATANGTTGAAGTCCGGACATCTTCAAGTTGCCAAGGTCGAGAAACACTTGCCTTATGCTGAAGATTTCATCTGGGCACGGAAAGGAGAATTTTGCTGGGCACGGAGACGTTATCTATGGCTCAGCTGGCACCACCACCTGGCATTTTCCCAGTAAGCAAAATCGGGAGGTTTTGGTGGAGAGGGGATGGAAAGAGGAGGAGGGTTTTTTGGAAAGACGGGGAAAGGGGCCCTTCCTGGAGGCTCCCTGGGACGATTTGGCAAAAAACGGCAAGGCTGGCTGGGTGGCTGGGGAATTCCACCCATCTTAGTAGAGTAGAAGTATAGAATAGCCTAATAGAGCAGTAGTATAGAGTAGAATGTAATATAGTAGAATAATAGAGTAGAATAGAAGACTAGTAGAAGAGAGTAAAGTAGTAGAAGAGTAGAATAGAGTAGTAGAGTAGTAGAGTAGAAGTATAGAATAGAATATAGTAGAATAGTAGCCTAATAGAGCAGTAGTATAGAGTAGAATATAATATAGTAGAATAATAAGAGTATAGTAGAAGAGTAGTAGAAGAGAATAAAGTAGAAGAGTAGAAGAGAATAGAATAGAGTAGAAGAATAGTAGAGTAGAATAGAATAAGGAATAGAGTAGAGTAGAGTAAAATACAATTGAATAAGGAATTGAGTAGAGTAGAATAGACTAAGGAATAGAGTAGAGCAGAATAGAATAGGACTTGGGAGGGACCTTGTAGGTCATCTAGTCCAACCCCCTGCCCAAGTCCTTCAAAGCCCCTCCCCCCAGGGTGAAAAACCCTGGGGCAGAGCCAACAGCCGGCCGAAAGAGCCTTCAGGGCTGACTCTCTCCAGCCACCATCCCTAAATCCCATTTTTTAGAAGGGCGATTCTGCTGCAGACCTTGGGACTCCAACCGGCATCCTCGGGCAGACAAAGCCCAGCTCAGAATGGGCTCTACCTGCCCACCCCCTCCCCCTGCCCTAGTTTGTGCCAGGCCAGAAGCCAGGAGACGGGGAGTTCTAGCCCCACCTGAGCTGGTGTGAAAGCCGGCCGGGAGACTTTGGGCCAATCCTGTTTTTTTGGCCCAGTCTACCTCACAGGGTCGTTGTGGTGGGGAAAAGAGGAGGAGGAAGAGGAGGAGGAGATGGGTTTGTTGCCCCGAGTGGTTTATGAAAAATAACAAAGGCGGGATAAAAGCTACAGCTGAAGGCCTTCCGCCTGCTTTGGGAAAGGCAGGGAAAACCCAGGGCAGGGGCTCTCTGAGGCTCCCTCGGGCATCAGGGCCTTGCCAGAGAACTCCAGCCATGGCCTCCCAGCTGTCTCTTCAGAAGCTGAACCGTCCAGGGTTAAACAGATGTTGGGGGTTACAGGTGCAGGTGGCCCTTACGACTTACGACCACCACCAAGCCCAAAATGTAGGTTGCTAAGCGAGACTTTTAAGTGAGCTTCGGCCCATTTCCTTGCCGTGGTTATTAAGTGAATCGTTGCATTCGTTAAGCCAGGGAGACCCGTGGCTCAGTGAATCCAGCTTCTCCCCACGACGCACTGCAACCGTCGTAAATAAGAGTCAGCCGCCAGGTGTCCTGATCACGGGGACGTGGCGAGGGCTGATGACCCATTCTAGGTCATTAAGCGAATTGTTGCACGTCAAGGACTAGCTGCAGTTTTAGCCCGGGTGGCTCAGCCCTGGATAGACGGGGGGGAGAGGGGGGAACCAGCCACCTCTGACCCCCCATCTCGGCCCTTCAGGCACCTGCAGGGAAAGGAAGGCCAGGTTGGGGGGGGGGGTCAAGGAGGCCGGCCGGCTGGCTGCCCCGCGTGCGAGCGAGCCAAGATGGCATCATTGGCACAGCAGGCCAGCCTGGTATGGAGGCGGGACTTCTCTGATGGGGCGGAGGTGTAGCTGAGGGGGGGGAGCCTCACAGGGTGGTGAGGACACCTCCCTTGGGCTGAGCCGGGGGTCAGGGCTGCCCGTGGCGGTGGCGGGTTCAGTAGCATTGGTTCATCTTGTTCCACAGCCTCTCCTTGAGGCTCTGCTTGCGGGGGGTCTTGAGGGCCACGGTGGTCTTGTGCTCCTGGGACTTGAGCTTGGCGTAGTAGTCGGAGAACTTGTTGTACAGGATGGAGATGGGCATCCCGTTCAGGATGATGCCGAAGGCGATGCAGCCGAAGGCCACCACCCTGCCCAGGAAGGTTTCCGGTACCGTGTCCCCGTAGCCCACCGTGGAGAGGCTCACCTGGAGGAGGAGGAGGAGGAGGAGGAGAGAAGAAGAAGAGCAAGAGGTCCTCCTTAGCTGAAGCAAACTCTCCTGCAAGATGGAGCCAAGCCTTAACCCCAAAGAAGATAAAAAGGGTCTGGGGGCTAAATCGCATGATGAACCATTGACGGGATGTCTAGTCCAGTGGTTCCCAAACTTGGCAACTTTAAGACTTGTGGACTTCAACTCCCAGAATTCTCCAGCCAGCTGGAGCTGGCTGGAGAATTCTGGGAGCTGAAGTCCACAAGTCTTAAAGTTGCCAAGTTTGGGAACCCCTGGTCTAGTCGAACAAGGAAGGAGACTCGGGAAGCTATGGGACCAACCTTCCGGGACCCAAAGAAGAAGGGGTCAGACTACTCCCCAGGGCAGCAGAAGAAGCAAAGGATAGAAACTAACCAAGGGGAGGAGCAATTTCCTAACAATGGGGACAATAATCAGTGGGACAAGGGAATTCTGGGAGTCGAAGTCCACAAGCCTTAAAGTTGCCGAGGTTGGAAACCACTGGTCTAGGGCAGAGCTGGAACAATGCCAACCAGTGGGACAAGGAAGCCCTCAGACGTTGTGGTGGGGGCTCCATCACGGGAGGCTTTCAAGAAGAGGCTGGACAGCTACTTGTCAGGAATGGTATAGGCCAGGGTCCCTGTGCAGGAGGGTTGGGCTAGAAGACCTCCAAGGTCCCTTCCAGCTCTGCTATTCCGATTATTATGAGCCGATTGCGTGGGGGGAGGGAGTGGGGAGAGGGGTGTGTGTTTGTGGGGGGAGGAGGAGGGTTGACTTACGGCCGCCCACCACCAGGTGTTGGGGATACTGGTGAAGTTGGTGCCCGGGACGTCGTGCTCGACGGAGTGCATGAGGGCGGAGAAGGTGAAGATGCCCATGGCGATGAAGAGGAGGAGGCAGCAGACCGGCTGGCAGCACTGCCGGAGGGTGAAGCCGAAGGCCCTCAGCCCCGTGGAGTGCCGAGCCAGCTTGAGGATCCGGAAGATCCGCATCAGCTTGATGAGCTTCAGGACCTTGCCCAGCTTCCCCACGTTGCGCATCTGGTGCAGCTCCTCCGTGTCCTCGGCGTCCTCCTCGCCCAGGTACTCGAAGACGACCTGGATGTAGAAGGGCAGGATGGACACCAGGTCGATGGCGCTGAAGGCCGCCCGGAAGAACTGCTGCACGCTGGAGGTGGAGACCACCCGCATGAGGTACTCCAGGGTGAAGAAGATGGCGCAGGCGGTCTCCATGTGCTCCATGGCCTGCTTGGCGGTATGGCTCTGCATCTCCTTCACCGTGCTGAGGGTCATCCCCACCACCGAGAAGAGGACACAGAGGCTGGACAAGATGGCCGTGACTTTAGCCAGGGTGGAAGAGTAGGGGTTCTCGATCAGGTTCCAGATGGCCTTCCGGAACCGGCCCAGGAACTTCCCCTTGAAGTGCTCCTCCTTCTCCACCGTCTCCAGCTCAGCCTCCAGCTCCCGCTGGATCTTCAGGTACTCCACCAGCTCGTCGTGCTTCTCTTCAAAGAGGATCCGGCAGCACCGCTGGGCATACTTCATGTGGATCCCCCAGTACTCAATCTCCTGCAGGAAGTTGGCCGAGCAGAACTCGGTCAGCACCCACATGACGCCGCTGCGGTAGAAGTGGAAGACGTAGTTGAAGACGGAAGGGTCCCGGTCGAAGAAGTACTCGTTCCTCAACACCGAGTAGTCATCGCACAGGTCCAGCTTCTTCACGGGATCCACGCAGGTGGCCAGTTGCCCGATCCTGGTGGTGGGGTACCTGGCTGCCGCTCGGACGGCGATGTAGAAGTGCTGGCCTCCAACATTGAGGGACAAAAAACAGGGATCCCACGGGTGGGACAGGTCACGGCCGCCATCCTGGGACAGGTCGGCCAAATTGTCCATGGAACTCCACCGCTTGACCAGCTTCTCCTGAGAGAAGGGGATGAAGAGGTCCACGTCGTTGGGGGTCCGGCAGCACTTCTGACAGGCCCGGAACTTCA